CTCGTCTAATACCAGTGTCGTCACTGTGGCTCGTAATACTGCGGGCTCGCCCAGCATATCCGCCGTTGGTACGGGTTTCACAAATATCACGGCCGAATTTTCGGGCGTGATTGGCTGGGTACAAGTGCGCGTGGTCAAAACGGTCTCCGTTCAACTCGCCTCATACCCTTCCCCGAGTTACCCTGGATCTACCAATGCGGAGAAGCGCATAGCGTACCGATACTTTGGCACTTCTGGAGATGTAATTTACCAGAATCTTCAACTGACTGCACAGACGACCCTGAGCAACGGCGACGTGAACCCCGTGCCCATGACCGATCTAGCAATTAGCGCCACCTCACTCCTTCCCAGCGCCACCGTCTCATCTTCGGGCCTCATCCAAGCTGCTGATGCTGTTGAGGGCAATGTGCGTGCTCTCTTTGGCATGATCGAGAGCAATGAGGTGATGATCACTATTTCCAATTCCTCGGTCGTGGTTGACACCATCGGTTTGCACTCGTTGCTTGCCTATGGTGGCAGTGGCAGCGTGGACGCAAGTCCCCTGACCATCCGTGGGGTTGTGGGTGCTACAGCTTGTCGACAACGCATCGACCTCATCTTCAATGACACAACCGAACTCAGTGATGTTGTGCCGTATTCGGGTACCCCGGTGCTTCCTGGTCTCTTGGCCTTCAGTGTTGACAACAGCAGCAACATGGTTGTTGCGGCCGACTCTGTCACAGGTGCAGTTCAACTCATCGATAATGGCGAGGCCTTGCTTCATGTCCACGCCACAGTGCCCAGTGGCTCAGTAAGCAGCTCCCTCAATCCATACGTCAATCTGGAACCAGATGCCGGCGATGTGGATCTTGGTCCCATCAGCGGAAGTCTCACGCTACAAGTTCCTATCGGCCCAAGTGCCCTGACCCTGCCCGTTCGGGTAAACACAAATGGAGCTGATGTGGGTGCCTTTGATTTGCGCTTGACGTGGACTGCTGGTAGTCTGAGCATTGGTGGGGTGACCAAGTCTTACGCGGAGGGTGAGATTGCTTTCAATGTGGATGGCCGTGAATTGTCAGTCAGTGGAGTTGTGCAGTCAACGCTGCAAGGCGCTACTGTTGAGTTGTTTCAAGTGACACTCAGCCAGGACACCCCTGCTGCCCAGCTTGCCATCTTAAGTGGGCAGGTTGACTCACTGAAGGACAAAGATGTCCCCGCTCAGGATATTGGTAGCAGCACGCCGCGTACGTTCGTGGCAGGCGTTGTTGTGCTTGAATTAGATGTGGCCCGCCGACGACGAAGCAGTGAGGCCGCTGGCGTACGCGCGGCGTGGGCGCCAACGGCAACTTCGCGCTCGCGGCGAGCCTGTGGTCACCCTCTGGATGCTGACGGCACTTGTACCTTTGATGCCGGTGACTCGTACTTTACACTCCTTTACACCATCACCGCACCGTCAAATTTTGTGAGCGCAACGGGCCAGCAAGTGGCAGCAGTTCTTGCAGCAAATGCTGAATTAGAGGGGCGCCTCGACGCTGACCGTAATGGAGTAGTTACGGGCACTGATTTGCTTTTCCAACTGCAAATCCTTGTGGGGTCCATGTTTTTTGTTCCTTCTTTTGAGGTAGAACGGTGGAACAGTACCGCTGGCGAGTGCCGCGTAGAACTCGCCACCAGTGTGCTGACTGCAAGCCTGGAGGAAGTCAACAACAGTGCTGTCGAAGCTTGGCTGGTTTTCTTAGCGACAGATGGCAGTGTCAATAGCTCGCTGGCTGAGCGAGTCGTGCGAGGCTTTGACAATGCGTCTGGCTTGGCTGTCTTTGATGCGCTAGGTGGCAGTGCTCAGACGGTTGCCGTGGCGGTCCCCTACACGCCAGGCACGGCCTTGACCATCCCGCTCCTTGGAGATTCGACCGCGATTGATGTGCTATTTTTTCTGCGGGTGCTGGCCAGTGACCAGTTGAAGTACTTCGGAGGTGCGGTGACCAGTCCATATGAGTACAACTTTGAGTTGAACGCGACGGTGTCAAGCGTGGAAGGCACGATGGTCAATCTTATTAGCGAAGGCGTAGGTGGATTCAATCCGCGCCCACTGCAGAATACAGGATCGGGAGGCGAGGAATACTGTTATTATGGGTGCCGAGGGTCGATCGAGTATTACAATGCAGCAAGTGACAGTTGCGTAGCACGAAGCGTCTGCGAGGGTCCGGCCCTCAGCAATGGGACGTCTACGGAAGACCGTGAGTGTGTAAGCAGCACCTCCGGTATCTCCAGCACGTCCAGTACCTCCAGTACCTCCAGCACCAGCAGTACCAGCAGCACCAGCAGTACTTCCAGCACCTCCAGTACCTCAAGCACCAGCAGTACCTCCAGCACCTCCAGTACCTCGAGCACCAGCAGCACCAGCAGTACTTCCAGCACCAGCAGTACTTCCAGCACCTCGAGCACCAGCAGCACGAGCAGCACCTCCAGTACCTCGAGCACCAGCAGCACCAGCAGTACCTCGAGCACCAGCAGTACTTCCAGCACCAGCAGTACTTCCAGCACCAGCAGTACTTCCAGCACTTCCAGTACCAGCAGCACCTCCAGTACCTCGAGCACCAGCAGTACCTCGAGCACCAGCAGTACTTCCAGTACCTCGAGCACCTCCAGCACCTCCAGCACCTCCAGCACCTCCAGCACCAGCAGTACCTCCAGTACAACTACCGCCATCCCCTCAGGCCTCATTGCTGCCACGTTTAATCAAAGCTCCTACGGCACCCTGCCTGTTCAATTGGCCCTCTCATCAAGCCCCTCTATCAGCTCAGCCTTCTTTGCTGCACCTATTGACGCTGACGCCACCACAAGCCTCTACAATGCTAGTCTTCCTCTCTCTTCGTCTGTCTCTGCGGCCGGCTTTGTTGGTCAAGTCAAGACACCTTCTGTCTCACTCAGTCGTCCGTTGTTGCCCGCCACCACCATTGCCATTACGCTACCCACCAACGCCGTGTACTACGATGATCGAACCATTCGCGTATTATTGACTGCCAGTGGCATTCACGGCCATACGCGAATCTCAAACACGCTCATCACAGCCGTCATTCAGATTGATGGCGAGCCGGCATTCCAGTCCAGCTCAACGTCTTGCACTGTATCGGCATCGACTTCGGGCGTGTGCTCGGTAGTGCTAACTGTTCCAACAGCATGGTTTGACCGTACTGATGAAACCAACATCCGCATTCAGGCGACACAGGCTGCACTTGGACTGGTCGCCACCAGCGACACCATGATCTTGTACAAACAACAGTCTCTGGGTGTGGTGGCCAACAATTTGTTTGCCGTGTTTCCTTCGGCGCCGCTGTTTGCCGGCACCAGTAATGAAATTTTGCTCTACGCAAACACATCGTTCGAAGTTGAGCTCTTCCAGGTGCGCTTTTCAGTGCAACACAGCGGCCTCACAATTTCGGGCTTCAGCGTGGACTCGAGCACCTGGACTGGTTCATATGACATTGTGCCAGACGCCACGTCCATCATCGCGCTTTTCCGCCGTCAAACCAATGCAGATGTGACTTATCTAGACGATGGTAGTGTGCTTTTGGGCAGTTTACTAATTAACGCCGCTGCCACGGTCGCGGACAGTAGTACGCGCATTGGCGTGTACTGCGAGACCCTAGACCTTGTTGATGATAATACTGTCACACAAGTCCCTGCTGGCCAAACCGCATTCCCCGTCCCGATGGTCACGAATGACCGTTATAATGGCGCCAACGTGTCCGGACTTGGATCGGTGGTTGTTGTTGAGAAAGCTGCGACTGCTGTGATTGTCTCGCCATTGCACCCGTACCTTCTTGACCTGGCCGAGTGGAGTGTATTAAATCCGACCATGCCATTTGCCCGTGTGGTCGTATACAATGACGGCTCTTATTCAACCTCTCCCTCAGGCATCACCTGCAGTGCCCCTAGTGCTGGATTCACCTTCAACACAGCCTGCACCCAGCTGACACTGTCGACCCACCTCGGCGCCACCGGTGCTGGCGTTGAGAATGTCACCTTTAGCGTTGACACGCTGCCCCCTTTAACGCTGGGCATTGTTATTGGAACGTTGACT